CAGTAAGAACGGATCAATACTGTATACAGGTACTCTCTCGAATAGGGCATCTATAATGGGCATTTAACTCAATTCACCTTTTTCTTTAAGAACAATGTAATGTAGTCAATATTACAAGACCTACAGAGATGCACTAAATTGCCACTAACCCTAAGTCAATGTTATATAACCCACAGAACCGCGATATCTTGCCATTTGCCATACGTCAATGTTACAAGACCAAGAGAGGTGCACTATACTGCCGTTCACCCTAAGTCATTGTTACAACACCTCCAGAGTTGCTCTATGTTGCCATTCACACTAACTCAACGTTACAAGACCAACAGAGTTACAATATCTTGTCATTCCTTCTAAGTCAATAACACTCAGCTAATATCTAATTATATCTCTTTCCTGTACACAAGGATTCATTCTCTAATCAGAACACATTAGAACTTGGGTAGAACTGAAAAAAAAATGTGTGCTAGTGTCCAAACTGGTGAATTCTCTATACAGTAGCGTCTTATGAATAAGAGCCTAGCATTTCTTCCACCTTTACATTGCTTGTCACTTCCTAACTCTACCTTGTCCACACTGCAGGCTGGATTGGTTCTTTCTACTTGTCTGAAAATGATGGTCATGGACTACGTAGCTTTTGACTGATGGAAATGATATTTGTGAACAGCATCTGTGACAGTTTGGACTACCTGAAACAAGGGAACTTTACTATTTGACGAATCCTGAGCCTAGGACTTTCAACATTCTTACTGTCAATTCATAAATCTGGTTTTCCATACATAATGCTTTAATTGATTCAGGTAAGAAGGATGTTAAATATCTACTATGGCAAGAGCGACAATGCCATTTGTCTCGTTCAATAATACACGTGGCAATTTCAAAACCAACAATGAAGAGTAAACAAAACTTCTACACTGGTACATCTGGTCTCACGAAACTTCATGTTTTGCCTGTCGCAAATGCCTTTGGCCAATGACAGACTAGCTGGCAGAAAGACACATACCCCAACAAAGTGCATCCCACTCTTTCTGTGGTTATACTTAACGTCTCATTGACCAGTTCACTATTATATGTTCCTGTTTCGTCTTTCTGTCAATTTGTCTTACCTACTGAATGGAGCATGTAAAAAAAAACGAATTTAATTGTAGCCTGATGGAACCAGTTTTCTGCTTAATCCTATAACTCATTATACAACTGTTTTGAAATCCAATTTTATCAGACAAATTACCGATTAAAACCATTACCTACCCTCCTTGCCAGACCAATGGTAATGAAACAATCTTCTCCAGGATCAAGAATTTCAATTTCAAAATAATGATGTGTTGTATCTAAGGGTAGTCGGGCCTGAGCTAGTCCCACGTCTTTCATTCGTTTTGCATTTCCTGTATATTCCAATGTCTAGAACACGAAAAACAAACCAAACATAAAATCTCTTCTGATATACCCTAAAACTCATATGGAAAGGCACATATTGGTGTGTGCAGTTTGCAGTTGAACTTATAAGTGAGTCTATACGGCATTACACTATTAACAAAATAATTTAAATACTAAACTTTTGTCTTAAAATTGTAATAAACCACTTTTTCATTGACGTTGCATATCCTATTCAAAACGGCATTAACACCTAATTCTTGTGTACACAATGTACAATGTGTAAATTTACATATTTATGGATTAAGTGTACTTGAAATATTTTTAATAAAATGCAATTCAAATACTTTTCTATAACTTTTCTAAGACATTTTTACTAATTTCAAGAGTATCTGATGCGTAAATTTTACAGTGCCAAAACCATTATCTTATTTCATTTTTAGTGATCTTTGATCTTTTCACTATAAGATCAACCAGATTATTTAACCCATGAGCGTGCATTACAAAAACTTTAGACTGAGTATATGACAAAGTACTGTTATTGAATAATGGACTTCAGTTTTAGTGAGCTAGAGAGCTTTTATTTTTGACCTCTGGACTCCCAAATAAGCTAGAATCTTCCTTACTCCAAGTGCTAATCATACAGTTTTGGAAGCACTGTGTGTTGAAGCGCAATAGTTATTGTACAAAGGCTATTTATTTTTTTTATAACTCAAGTGACCTGGAACTTTAAATCATTTAAAATCGATAGAATTCTTCATTATCCAAAGTGCAAGTCATCCACAAAGTCTGGTAACGGTCGGTGATAGAAAATACATAGGATTGTGCAAAAAATACGTTAATTCCTTCAGACACATTTACCAGGATCTTTGATCCTAAAAAGAATAGTGTTATTTCTTACCGTAAGTGCAAACCATACATAAAGTTTTGCAAAAGTCTATGATGGACAAACTTTAGATATTCTGCAAAAGCAAAATTGATAAGAGACAGACAACATCATAAAGGTACATTCTCCTCCTTGTGGTGGGTGTAAAAAAGACACTTAAGTGAATGGTCTCACTAACCTATTTCTGGTACATTTATGTTACCTTCTCCGAGAAGCAATACCAATTTTCATACGAGATGCTAAAATATTGTCCAAACAATTGATAGTATAGCAAACAAAGCTGAAACAGTCACTCAAGCATGATTTTTTGTTGTTGTGTTTAACGCCATTTTTCAGCACATGATAGGCTATTCATGGCGGCCAGTATTAATGGTGGAGGAAGAAGCCGGGAAATCACCGGAAAGAACCACCGACCCACGAGAAGCTACTGGCATGCTTTCTCACATATCCACATTCACCGAATCCTAGACTCAAACACACGCAGACAGAGGTGAGATGGCAGTGATCCGTAACGGACAGCGCTTTAGACCACTCGGCCACTCGGGGCCCCCCACACTCAAGCATGAAAATTCAGTCATACTGTCCTAGTTTTTTAATGGCTGAGTTACTTTTATATAGTTGTATACACATAATTATAATAAGTAGTTTAAATAGAGTCCAAAATACTGACGGTGTAATGGACAAACAACTGAAAATAAAAAGTTCCTTAGTTGTGAAAAATTGGATCTTTATATTGATTCACTTAAGCATGCAAATGGGGTCACACTTACCAAACTTGGTACGGCTCAATTGCTTTCATTGAAATCACTATACACGCATTTTTTTGTAGGGGTAACAGTAGAGTCGAATGTAATGTTGTAAACAGCCGACAAAACGCCACATCACTCAAAGACAGAAAATTGTGAGCAATTTACTCAATGTACCCCGACATCTGATATCCCACTTAAACCCCAGGAAGCGAGTCAGAGTCAAATAAAATTTGTAACTGCAAAACTCCAGCAAATAAAATGATTTAATAAAATGTAATGTATAAATCTTCGCCTATTGAACTTAATAAGTGCTATATTTCACAACAATCCACTTAAAAGCGCAAGAGCTTTACGTCAGTAAGTTTTAAAACCCGCCAAGTCAGTTACTATATATAAAACAAATCCTCACAGAATCATAGCATTAAACCTGACATCTGATGATCAAAATAACATTTCTCAAATTAATAATTAACAAGTTCCTTGATGATCTACTGAAATATGAAACTAGTTGTGTTCACCATGTTTGGTCAAAATCATTGTCATCAGATAGTATTTGACGAATCCAAAGATTAACCATGTGGTTAGTCAGCTATTTTGGCTTTTAAAGGTGCTGTTTTTACACATGCATTTGCAAACCTTCCTTCATTAATGCAAAGATAAAACAATCTTTGTTCCAGGGCCTAATGTACCTATCAAATTAGTTCAACAACTTGTTAATGTCAAACCGAAGTTTCCAGATGTGTAAACATTTGATTACCTGAAAAACGTTACAAGACCAGAAATGTATCATTATGTCCTGACAGGCATTTCAAGAGTTTAAAAAATTATACTGTTTGAGTACATTTTTAATGCACGTCTTTGAAGTAATATATGGATATTCCCGTACATCTGTTTTTAATGCACTCAAAAATCATTTTTTTTAAAAAACAATTTGGCGTACTCGTGCACCTGGCGGCATCTCCAGCACCTGAATATTGATTCATCATGAGTAAGACAACTAAAATAGAAGTAAGATGCGATTTTAAATATTTTTCACAACAATGAATTAACTATACTCTCTAAGGTAAATAATTATTGATAACTAACACATCCTTTGAGCTTGATGTCCTCCAGCCGTGTCCATTCTTCTTCACTTTTGTCCAGTGCCATATGCATTATATCGTCATGTCATTCCGCATCCAGAATCAGTTTTACTTCCTTAACTTCGGAGAGCAATCCTACGGCAGGGAACAGACCTCCTGCAGGGAATGGAACAAGTACTCTGCCAACCTATAACTTGAATGAAAGTTAAAACAAGCTGATATGAAGTAAAAACAGCTATCATCTGTACTAGCTTTCAACTGGAGTCCAACTGCAAACTCCACAAACCTGGATATGCCATTGAATATGTAGTTGCAGTTAGGGAGTAGTTAGGAGTAATCAGTAGAACAAACTGAATATACTTTGATATACCTGTGCATTATGTGATAGCAGATCACGGTCTATGGACTCGAATTGTAAGCAATTATGTAAGATACGAGTATCAATTTTCATGAAAACCACAAATTCAAAATTCAAAGCAAATTGTTCTTTGTAAACAATAATGCTTCCTTTTCTAAACAGCAAATTTAATTTACTAACAAAATATAATTGATTTCAAAACCAATAAAGCTGCTTCTACAATAAGTCCCCAACTATTTTGCACATGTACCCAACTCTTCAACCTTGACCCAGGAGGCTGTAGACCATAATCCTTCACATGCATCATATATACTCCTCCACAAACTATTCAAAAATGTCAAACAAAACAGTAGAACCGACTCTTAAGATTTCAAGGCGATGATGAAAAGCGAACCAAACAAAATGGCCAAGGCAGTCGCAGCCACTTGCATGTAAGATGAAGAGAACACAATGTGTGTATGTGTGTGTGTGTGAATGTGATTTGGATTTTTAACGTAGCTTTAACAATTCTTCAGTCATATAGCTACAATGTCACATTATCTTGACATGAGGGCAACCGCTCCGGTTGCTTAGTGGTCAGAGCGTATGTCTGATGCGGGAGGTCCTGGGTTCGATCCTCAGCCGAGTTATTCCATGGATTTACAAAAATGGTATTAACAGATGCCTCGTTTGAAGCTCAACATTAAGAGGTTAGTGTAGGACTAGTCGGCCTGGTGTCAGAATAATGTGACTTGGTGGGGCATCATGCTATATGCCTGCGGCATGATGACTGTGCAGACATCGTCACGATATGACTAAAAAATTGTTACGTTAAAATCCAAACCACAACATCAACAACACAACCACAACGACACGAGGGTAACCAGTCCCAACACTAACCTCTTAATACAGAGCGCCAAGCGAGGCAGCTGTTACTACCTCTTTGGAATGACTTGGCCGAAGTTTTAACCTGCGAACTTCCGTATCATACAAGGGTGCTTTAACCACTTTGCACCAGAGCAGACACGACACAAGATAAGTGTTTCGAAAAGCGTCTGTTCCCATCCCTAGTAGACTGCAACGTCCTTGTTGACACCTATAAAAACCGTTATTTGAGTATAAATAAAAGCTTTAATCATACAGTTATGTCAACATTTTTTTCTGCAGAAGAAAAAAGAAACAAGATAGAAGTGATAAAAGATAATAAAAAAACTCTTTTGCAACCACCCTCGTCTTCTACACCCGTGGCTCATTAGACACGCAAAGATACCTATAAAAAATACGAAATGAAGTTTAGTTTCTGTCAACAGTGGTTTACCCTTGGTGCAACAATAGTTGCATGATAAGTAATGTACATGGGACTCAAATCGACGAAAATTTTACAAAAATAAGCCAAAGTGGAGGGCATAGAACAGTGAGAAACCGATTTAGCCAATGTATCATTTGCAACTTTACAAAAATCTTAAGATTCGTCTGCATACATTGATGCTCTTTGGTCACGTTCAGTCTCCCAAAGCGAAGATGTTAAGCTTTATCTAACAGGCTGATTACATTAGCGGTAATGGTAACAACATAGGTCAACAGAACATGGCCCATAAGCAGGTGTTAAATCTTTACGTGGGACGTTTTGAACGCACGAATTTCTGATATTCACTTAACAGTGATGTTCAAAAACAAATATATGTATATATAAAAATATTCCGTCCAACAATTGATATGAAGAAGAAACGTTATGTTGGTCATAATAAACATGAACTTAAGCCGATGCACCGTACAGGAACCGATGTCAAGTCACTATTTTTCACTAATATGGTGTACAAAACAAACTGCTCTTAGATCACATTCCGTTTCTGTCTTTCGAAGGACCCACCGAGAAACTTACTTCCAAGCAGGCACGTTCGAACAAGAGTTCTTGACCCCTCAAATATCAGAGTCAAACGAAAACTTAGAACAATATGAAACACGATTTTATTTGAATAATAATAATAATAATAATAATAATAATAATAATAATAATAATAATAATAAAATTTAAAAGATGTAAGCAAATACTATATCAAAATTACTCAAGAATATAAGAAGCTAGAACTGTTCTCACAGTTTTCTATAGACAATATACATAATTGGACCCAGCATGTGAACTAAAATAAACATAAGACTGAAAAAATGACTCGGATAGCACATTGCCACACTGAATTTTGTCTGACTCAATTTAATATTTTAAAACAAATTCGAAATATTTAATGTAGAACACTATTCTATCAAACACAGATTCTTGGAAGAGGAGAACGAACAACTATTACATACCTAAACAGTTGAATATCGTTGACTGTGAAAACAACTTTCCTTCAAATTCTCCGTCGAGTAACTGGTATAAACTTAACACACTTTATAGTCATATATGGCAGAAAACAACAAACAGGGAAACGTATGGTAAGTGAACTCAGTCTGCAGACCGTCTGCACGTGCCACAGTAAGTTAATTGTATGAGTAAATCTTACCAAGTTGCAATCATTCGCCGAAAGGGAAAAAAGAAAAGAAAAGAAAAAGTAACTCATACACTGGTGGTAATGCCGTACATGGCACATGATTCATACCATTTTCAAGACAAAAATACGTGGCAGTCTTCTGCGCTTACTCCATGACTGGCAGTTGATAGATCGTTATCATGGGGATGTCTTTATTATTTAAGTTCTGCTTTAATCTTTTTCTGGATGAGTTGATGCATTGGGATGAAGATATGAATATGTAGATTAAAAGCATCATTTTAAGTTATATTGGTTCTGTCGCCAATTCTTCTTCTCAATCTTATTTTTTCAAATAATTCGCTGTTTCTCTTGTTTTCTGTTACCTCTGTAGTTTCTTTATGTAATTATTCCATCGTTATCCTTATTTGCTCTTCCTTTGTAAGTTCTCTCTGTATCCCATCATTAACGAAGACATTTGATTCCTGTAAATGAGAGTTCTATATTGATTCTATGATTCTGTGTTCATTACTGCATGACTGCATTTCTTTGCTGTTCATCATGGAAAAAGTACTTATATTTAGGAGTGACTAATCTTGACAATATTGTCGTTTTTCCTATACTTCGTTAACATTTTCTTTGTGTTCAGGTACAATCACTAAAATACGTTTTTCTTCGAAATAATATTACTTCTTGTTTTTGTACTGTAAAAATAATTACTTTCTGTCATGTGTTTTAATATCTGCTGTGCACACAGCAAATTGATACTTTTGGCCTCTGATCCAGGATTAAAAACCATTCCCCATATTTGTACAGTTTCAATATTTGTGTTCATCGTATTTATTCTTAAGCCCGAGTTCTATTTGATTTTAATGGCATGTTACTCTGAAACGTTTTTTTGTGTCTAAATTAGGACTATAACTGCTAATTTATGCGTTGAAGTTTCAGACTAAAAATGTTCAACAACCCTTTTATATATATGAGTTAATAGTGATTGTCTCATTGGTTCATTTATATTTGTCTAAAAAATGTTTGTAGCTGTCTTATTAGTTCATTTATATATGACTTACACGTGTGGCTGTCTCATTGGTTCATTTATATCTGACTAAAACGTGTGGCTGTCTCATTGGTTCATTTATAATTTGAACCACATTTCTAACATTCGTATTTAAAACAAAACAACCTTTATTGGAATGTTCGTGACTAACTGCAATGCGAAAATCATAAAAGAGTATAATTCCCGACACTAGTTTAGTTTTCTCTTTAATTCGTTGTTTTTATCAAATTCCCCTTTTATCCATCCATACAAAAGCTCAATAACAGAACCTTTCTGCCCCTTTCCATGTTAGATTCAGTTTTGAATGTCTGCCAGTTGTCGTCTTTTGCTGTATTAACTGCATCACTATATGACTTACCGCAAGAGTCCTTTTGATATATCTATCTAGAGGGTTGTTGCTGTTGTTTTTGTGCTTGGAATGCATGTTTCCTTGTTTTCAAATTTTATTTTCAAATCAGGTTAGTATGTCCTCATTCGTTTCGTACATTTTTAATTAGTCAATACTAACTTGTGACAATGCCATTTTCACAGCCAGTTTATTTTTTTTTAAATGTGCACATTCTTTCTTATTCGTGTTTAGACAGTTCAACCTCAACATGTAACTTGCGCAAAATTTAGTAAATGCAAAACCTTGTATTCCCTGGGCCTTATCTTTCAAAGCAGTGATAGATAAATAGTAAATTGTCTTCATTGAAACATATTTAACAAAGAGATGAGTAGCGAATGTAGAGTGTGTAAATAGTTAATCTTCACTTTAGGTCTGCCTATCAAATCTAGTTTATATATCATCTTTATAAACACCAAAAGTCTTTGATCTTTGGAAATTGAAAGAAAACGCTTAGTTTCTGTGGAATTAGACGCAATTCTAGATTTCCTTAAAATCTATGACAAAAGGTCAAAAGACATGTAACTAACTGTAATGATCAAAATCCATTATAAATTTTTAGCAAATTAAAATGTAGAATATCAATATCATATGCAGCACGTGAAAATATATTAAAATTTAATTTCATCAGGATTAGTGGCAATTGTTTCGGAATTTCTCTTAAGCCGGGCGAGTTGTTTTTTAAGGGAACTATGAAATTAAAACACTATTTTGAAGCTTGAATCTACACACGCAATAATTTGACAGTACGACCTATTGGGGTAACTCGTCACGATTACAATTTACCTTAATTACCTTACCTTTTTAAATTTGCTACAATTAAACAATTCCTTGAACCAGGTCATCTTTTGAATCTACAGAAAATAGATTGATCTATCGTAAATTTATTCTACTGTTGTAGCATCATGGTGTAAATGTAATTTGCTGAGGAATTTAATTATAACTGGGTACCCAGGCCCCCCCCCAAGTGATGTTTCGTATTTGAAGCCATGAACAATTGAATAGCCGATACTGGTTGACAAATTTAAGATGGCGGAAGTAATACAAAAAATGCGTTGGCAATGAATAAATATTTTTAAATTAGTTATTTCTTTATATGCCGCCATCGGTCATTCGTTGTATTAGGCGCAACGTAGTTAAAGAAGTTCTGAATGGTCATTTAAAGTGTTATTTTGCACTATTGTCCTGTTTTAGCAATTATATGTGAGTTTGGGTAGGTATGGGGTTTGGTGAGAGATTATGCATTAACGGAATAGATAAGGAGCTTAGATGGGCGGAATTAAGTTGGTACTACAATGTATGTATGATTATGTAATGTATGTTTAGGAGAAGAATGTTTGGTCAGAATCTTTCCTGGTAAGAGTGAACATTTATGTTTGTAAAAGAGGAATAATAATGCTTTAAAACACCTAACACCTATTTAGGTTCCTAACACCTATTTAGGTTCCTAACACCTATTTAGGTTTCAACCATTAGTTCTTATATGACATACCTGTAAAGAAAGATTATTACAAGAATTCAGAAATATTGCAGATACACTTCTAGGAACAATGTTTATTTGAGTAATATTTTTAATACATTTGTTTTTATTTGTAATATATAGGTACATTTGTTTATATCTTTACATGATATGTATGATTGCACAGGCAAGTTGTCGCACATGCAATTGATTTAAGTAATTTGATTTTGGTGACCTTGAACTAGAATATACAACATCACTATGAAGCAGCAGCGTGAGTGAAC